ATTAACATCTGGGTTTAACCATGTGTTTTTTAACTTCATAAGAGCCAGTGAGACAATGGGATTCGGTACAGCGACAAGGCGGTTGCTCTGGGAATAGAAACCGGAGGCGTCTACTGAAATGACAGCTGAGAGCACCTGGGATGCTGCACAAAGCAGAAGAGCACCCGAGGGCAGGCCTGCAGCTGCAGCTCACGTTGGATGCCCAGGAAGTGCTTGCTTAGTGTAGGTGGGGTGCCAGGCACCGTGTGGAGCCCAGACCTGGAAGTGGCCCTCGCGGTGCGAGGGAGCGTGGTGGGACTCTCCCGCCCCCAGCTCTGGCTCTGGGCCAAAGCAGGTTGGAGAGCCTGATTTGCACACACAGAGCCCCTCCCACCACCTGAGATGAACCTGGAGACTGGCAGGGTGAGGAGGGCCATCTCTGAGCCGAGAAAACGTTTTTCTTGACTTCCCTGTGACAGCCATGTTTGAACTGAAAGCCATAGTTCTCCGGGATCTGGATCTGGGCTTTGGCAGTTTTTGATCACTCTGCAGGTTCGGCCTCCCGGTGTTGGACCCACAAGAATGGCTTGGGTGTTGTAGAGTCTCCCACGGAGGGTCCAGGGGGCGGCTGGCAGATGGGCAGAGTGACCCGTGCTCTGGCATGGAGTGTGCGGGCCCTGGTCCCGCAAGCAGCCCCCACTGTTCCCCCAACAGCATCTCCCCCTGGCTGCCCCCGGGGGAGGGCCTCTACTCTGCTTCAGCCCCTGGATCGCAGTGTAACAGACGGGCCAGCAGCCATGTCAGCCAGCAGGCATGTTTTATTTGGCTAGGCCAATGTTGTCACAAGTTTTAAACGCGAATATCCACAGGTAGGAGTTGCTCTCTGGGGTGCCCACACCCCAGTCCTCCCTACTGCCTCTGGTGTAGCCTGCTCTGGTCCTGAGCAGCCTACTCCCCCAGTCCCTCACTGTCCCCGACAGAAGCAATGTGCCTCGTTATCTCAGTTCGAAGACGCGAGCTAAACCCTATGTGGCAGTGGCCAACAAGGGTTGTTAGGCATCTAGAAACTCTGCACACATTAGCTGGGCTCTCACCATGGAACAAGTGCTTTAACCAAAGGACTGAGTCTCCGACTAGGGAATTTACAAACTTCCCAGGTGGCAGGAGGAATCTTTTAGAGAAAAACAAATTGTGCAGTGACACCTTAGAGATGTCACTCTGAAAAGCCTCTGCACTCTCTGAATTTAAGCATGCAGCCATCCCAACAGAATTGCACCGGTGCTTGGAGCCCATCTTCAGCTCAAAGCTCCTGAGGCTGCCTTCCATGACCACATGTGCGCAGTGCCCGGAGAGGGAGACCCAGGCCATTTTCTTGCGGCACGTTTGGCTTCGTCCCTTCCTCCCAGCCGGGCTCCCAGGCTGTCATGACAGAGTGCCTCTTGGCAGAGTCTTAGGGAACTGTGTGACTGTGCAGCTGCTTGAATGGGGGTCATTCAGTCAAAGAGTGTTTTCTCTTTCTGAATGACACAATTACACACCAAGAACGCGGGCCTTAGCTGCCGTTTTAGATCTTCCACGCGCCTGATCCCTTCCCTTAGACTGAACAATGGAGGGGTCTTGGTAAGTGTGGGGGTGCACGATGATAAGTGGGCAGGCAGATCACAGAATGCAAGATGCTTGGGTGGGGAGGCGGGGGGGCGGGGGGCTCACCCTTCTCCCAACACTGGAGGAAAACAAGAGCACAGCCTCTTACAAAAAGCCTGTGCGTACTGCAGCACTGCAGACTATCTGACCAAAGAGCACAGTAGCTAAGCGTCACCTGGCAAATAAACAGGCCCTGCTATTTATTCTCATAATAACTCTCTGGGCAAAACGCAAGCCAGGAAACTGAGGCACGTGGCAGTTAGCAACTGGAAAAATCCAGTTTTTGCTGTGGACAGCGGGTCCTCTGACCCTGCTCTGCGCCATGCTGCCACCATGGAGAGGATGGAAGAGCAACAAACAGTGCTTTGTCAGGTCCTTCCCCAATTCAACCTCCTACAATAGGGGAATTGAGGCTTGCGAGTTTCAGGAACTCGCTCAGAGAGAGGTGATTGCTTGCTGCATCTATGTGAATTCAGGCCGACCTGGTTCCAGCTGGTTCCAGAAACAAGTTCATCAGTGGTCGGTGCAGTGTTATGCTCTACCTGACTTCCGGCGTCAGCCTTTGGATGGGATTTGGGAGAAACCAGCAGAACTCCTACTTCTGCCCTCCCAACTACCTCCGAAGTTCATTCCCTGGGATTAAACACTGCCTTCTGCCCAGGTCCCCTTTAGGAAGCAGATAGTCCCATGGGAGACACATTTTTAGGAAGGAGTGTATCGGATTCTCCCAGGCCCCTTCCAGTCCTATCCAGGGCTGGAGGTGTACAGTTGGGAGGGGCAGACGGTGCCAAAAAGAAGAGAGAGAGAGAGAGACAGACAGACAGACAGACAGAGAAAGGAGACCAAGAGGCCAGGCCACCCCAGACTCACTTCCCAAGGTCAGAAAGTTCCCTTCACCACTTAAAACAAGCATCGGAGACTGACTACGTCCAGAGGAGCTTCCATTCCCTCGAGCCTGTCTTACACACGCAGGCGACGTAACTAGCATCTCAGTACACAGGAGTAACTGAAGAGTTCCATCTTAAACCTCCACCATCACGCGGTCTGATCACCCAGAAACCGCTGGTGTTGCACATTTACTTCTGGTGTTTTCAGACAATCCTACCCAAATGTCACATCTGGTAGGATCGTTGTTTGAAGTGAAATTGTTTTTGGGAATCACTGGATGCCACATAAAGGAATTTTCCAATCCAGCCCTGTCTACTGGCCAACTATAAGAGAGTCTGTTACTTATGATTTAGAGTTTTATTTTGATACTTCAAACAATGAGAAAGACTTGCCTATCCATTTGGAAATGCTGTTAATATTAAAGTATCTCCTGTGCATTACTTTAAAAAGAACAGCTGGTATTTCCAACAGTTGGCAAACTGGATATTTCAGTTATTCAAATACTTATCCTGACATACAATACTGAAAAATATAGGTCAAAGAACTCACTCCAAATTTGAGCCCATGCTCCTGAAAGGAATACAGTTTCTTAGTGGAAGGTTTTTTTCTCTTTCCACGTTTGAGTCTGTTTTTTTCCTGACATCTCATGAAGACTCGGGTTGGGAGGTATTGATTAAACATCTTGCAGAATTCTTGTCAGAAGAGGCAGGCATTCGGTGGAGAGGTTAAGACACCACTTGGGTCACCTGTATACTGTATCGGAGCACCTGAGTTTGGGTCCCAGCCCTACGTCTTATTCCAGCTTCCTGCTGACACACATCCTAGGAGGTAGCAAGTGACGGCTCAAGTACCTGGGCCTCTGTCACCCATGTGAGAGGCCCGGATTGAGTCCTGGGCTCCTGGCTGTGTTTCGGCCCAGCCCTGGGTGTTGTGGGCATTCAGGGAGTGAGCACGCAGATGGTAGATCTCGGTCTCTTTCTTTCTGTGTTTTTCCCCCCTTTTAAATAAATACAAATGCCACAAATTACTTTTCTTGAAGAAAACGGACGCACAATGCACCTGCTGTTTGGTTTCTGGACACACACATTCAGCAACAGGCCTGATCCTCACAGTTAGATGGATCCTAGATAACGGGGTAAAATGAAGCAAGGGCGTAGAGGGGGGAAGGAGAAAATCCACCAACTGGGATACAGCAGCCGTGACTAGAGAGAGCAAAGGCAGGCCTGGGCACTGCTGGACCTGAACAGCACCTGCTGTACCTGCAGCTCACATGCTAAATAAAAGCTGCCCAACTCAGGGGGAAGGCCAAGCAAAGGAGGTTTCCAGTGAAAAGAGTATGACCTTGGAGGGGCCAGAAAGAAATCTAACTTGAGAAGGGTCTTTTTCCTCTTTTCCTATCAATATTGTTGACCCTGTCCCTCCCTATCCTGCTGTCCACCCTCTGCCTCTGTCTTCCTGAACTTGAAGCTGATACCAGCGAGACCTTTAAGTTTCACCTTCTATGCTTCAAAGGCAGCCTGAGGTGTGAGAGCCACTTGGGGGCTTTAAAGACAGGATCAGGGTATCAGAGCAGGTATACTGGAATTTTATGGAGTTCTTGGATTTATTTAGGCCCTTCATCAATTTGTAGGATATTTATTTATATATAAGACAAGCTCACAGAGGCAGAGGTTAGAGATAAGTGATGTAAGGAGGTGCACTGTGATGTGGAATGAAGCCAGGCGAGAGATGAGCTCCTAGGGAAAATTCTCTGACTTCTCCACCTACTTCTAAAACTGAACTTGAGCCTCACATGACACACTGTCCATGGTAGAGTTCTAAGAATTGAGGGAGAGGTTTTAGTCGTTGATCTTGGATCTCTAGGAATCAAGGATATCTACTCAGCCAATTACATAAAGATTTCCTAAGCGTCTATCACTGGGAAGTGTGTGTGTGTGTGTGTGTGTGTGTGTGTGTTTGTGTTTGGAGATGTGGTGACAGGAAGAAGCAGGCTTATGCAGACTATGAAATCATTTAAGCTAGATTATCCTTTCTGAGAACACAGCCATGTTGTAGTTTTATTCCCTGTAGACCTGAATAATATTTGAACGCATAATATGTGGCCCTCTCCTCTCACAGGAGTCACAGACAATGCTTGTCATTCTGGAGGAGCGCAAAGCACAGAGGAGAGCCCCAAGGCAAAGACCACCTAGTTTTGCTCTGGGATTCGGGTTCAGAGAGAGGCAGCCCTGTCTCCCATAGCCTCTCTAGCCACTGATATGTGATAGACACACTGAGGCTGAATTTTTAAAATAATTTCGTTAGGCTGACAATTGTACAAGTAACTATTATCCTTTGAATCTTTGTATGAGGAAGCTTTTTACCAACTTTACTGATGTAACTTTCCCCACCTTTAACACCCACATACCCCAAACACGCGACATATGTGCACAGATCCCTTTAGGTCGGCTTCTGCAGCCAACAGTGGAGAGGAGAAACCATCCTGTTACCTTATTGCTGTGCCTGGTACACCTGTGAGCTGTGAGATCCTAGAAGGCTGCCCTGATATGCAGGCATGGTTGGCCCCAAGAAAGATGAAGAAATGGCCATGGCATTGGACCCCAGTTGTCCAGCTACCAGCATCATCAGAGGGTAGTTTGTGAGGTCAAGGCTGGTTTTCATGACATCAGCACAGCTGAGGAGGTGGGCCAGCCCCATTGAAGATGATTAAAAGGGTAAGAGCCCCAGATGGGGACCCACGGAACATTCTACTACCACCTCATTAGTCAGCTTTTTGTCACTACAACAAAGCCCTGGGAGGAGCTACTTGTGAAGGAAGAAGGCTTATTTCCACTCACAGTTTTGCAGGCTCTCAGTTCAAGACCAGGGTACCCCCATGTTGCTGGTGTCTGTTGAGGGTGGTGGGTGCAGATGGCAGAGGGAGGACCACATGGCAAGCCAGGAAGCAGAGAGACACAGGGGACACATTCATCTTCTCCTTATAAAGCCCCTGTGATTGGATCACAGGGTGCCACTCCAATAACTCAACCCAATCACTTTTCAAAGCCCCACCTCCAAACACCATGATTAGATTAATCCCCCCCCCACCCCCCCAATCCATTCACATGAGTCTTTAACCCATGGGCCTTTGGGGACACCCAAATTATCACTCAAACATAACAACCTCCAAGAGTTCCAAGTCAGTCTTGTCTTTGGAAATCACAGAGGCAAATGGTTCCAGGCGTCTTGGTCTTGACTACACAAACTATGTTTAAAAGAAGACATGAAGAGACAAAGGACTAAGAAGCACCTTAAAAACAGCCTTTTTCTATTTACACTCTGCTATTTCTCAACAGATTGTATTGACCAGCTTGCCTGACACTTCATGGAGAAAATATAAAACAATGTAAGCTAACAGATTGCAGCTCCTTCACTGTCCCACTCCTAATGGACAAACTTGGTTCCAACTGCATTCGGCATTCTTCTGAAACAAAAAAGTGCCCTGACCCCCTTCTCCCACTTATTCAACCTCCTTTTCTGCACTGCTTCTCCAGATGCTTACCCTGGGCGTTCAGAGAGTTTCTAGTAGCTCCCACCTTTTAGAGAAATCCCTCTAGCCTGATGTCTTCATTGCCAATCTACCAACTATCTCCTAGTCTTCAAAGCTGAACTTCTCAAAACACATCCTATTTTATCATCCATACATCTGGCACCCCACCACTGTACTGTGTTCTTTCCAAGGTTAGCAACTAAATCCCCACTGCAAAACCAAGTATGTATTTTTTTATTCTCATTCTTTTAAATTTGTTTTTTCTTATTTGAAAGGCAGAGTGAGAGAGAGAGAGAGAGAGAGAGAGAGAGAGAGAGAGAGATAGGAGATCTTCTACCCGTTGGTTCACTCCCCAGATGGCTGCTATGGCCGAGGCTGGGCCAATCTGAAGCCAGGAACTCCGTCTGGATCTCCCACATGGGTGGTTGGGGTCCAAGCACCTGGATTGAAAGGAAGTAGCCAGGAATTCAACCGGTTTTCATACATGGATGCCAGTGTTGCAACTGGCAACTCAACCTGCTGCACCCCAACTATGGCCCCAAGTTTGATCCTCATCTATTTAGCCTTTCCATTTTCCACACTCTTATTTCTGATGTTGCCTCTGAGCACGGCCCCATGGCCCACACTCCTCAGGTCTTTCTCCTGGGTTCCAGGCTCCACACTTCAGCTCCTCTGCTAGTTCCTACATTCCGCATTGTCTCAGGGCTCAGCAGTGGGTCTACTGTTCTAACCTTGTGCTCATTCTGAACACTTTAAATATATGTTAGTAATTCACAAATGGGTATCCCATCTCAACCCTCTCTTTTGAGTTCCAGCCTCTTGATCATGTATCCAGCCTAATCTACTTAAATATCTCATAAAATATCACATTATGAATTTGATACTGTAATCAATATCAATACTTTGATACTGTAATCAAAGTATTGATCAAAACCCCCAAAACCACCCTCTTCAAGTCTTTCCTTTCTTAAAAAAAATTTCAGAGTCGATCTAGAAACCTTGGAGTTATGCTTTACCCCTTCCTCTCCCCTCCAAGTCCCAAGGAGCACCAAGATCTGCTCATAGCACTTCTCCATCTCTGCTTCCAATGCTCTAGGCCAAGTTCTCATCCTTTCTCATCCATTCTCACCTGCAATCATCAAACCACTGAGGTCCCCATGTCCATGGAGCAGCTGGACGAACCCTCCTGCCCCTACAGCACCAGCTTATATGCCTGTTCCCTCTCCCTTCAGGCTATGGCCACAGATGGATCTTCACTTTCATCATCAGATCTTTCCTACCTCAGGGCCTTGCCTGCAAGCCTCCCCTCCTGCCTCACTTCCTCCGCATCTTTGCTCTTAGGTGGTGCTGTCACACGGTTCATGTCTCAGCTGTGCTGTCTTCCCCCTGAGGTTTTGGTTAAGCAGGATCCTAAAGGTCTACTTTGCACCATTACACATGGTCAAGTCACAGTCTGAGACTATATAAATGATTTTCATTTCATCAAACTTCCTCCAGAAGACCAAAGTCCCCATGAGGTCAAGAAGAGATGTCCACACTTTTTGGACCACTTATTTCACACTCAGTCCAATGCCTAACAATAAATATCAGTGAGAGAACCAACAAACTTCTTTCCTCTTTGTCCTAAAATATCCAGCTTTTGACATCCTCTTGCAAACCCAATATGTGACTTTGGGCAACTTGCTTAAATTGTGTCTCTCCACATAGTAAGTAGGGAAAATATCTATTTTATATTAATATTATGAAGATTAAAATGAGATCATATATATAATGTGCTGCGGCTTGATTGATAGTGTGCCCTCCAAAATGCATGCTGGAACTTACTCTACAATGCAATAAACATTATTCAGAGTTGTGGCTTTCAGGGGGTGGTTCAGGCCTGAGGGAGGTTCAGCACCCTCATAGGAAGGTTGAAGCAAGCACCCTCGTGCACCCCGACCCTCTGCCATGTGATGACAAAGCCCCTCTCCCGCCAAGGATGTAGCGCCAGGTGCCATCTTGGGAGCAGAGAGCAGCCCTCACCAGACACCAACCCTATGACGGCCCTGAACTTGGATTTCCCGACCTCCAGAACCAGACGGAATCGTTGATGCTGCTTGAGGACCAAGGCACTCAACAGGAGTTCTGTCCTTTTCCCCCATGCCTCCTCCTGAACACCAATTACTCTCACCCAACAGACACGCGTGGGAAATTTGAAAACACGGGAAACCATCCTGCACTTGGGCAATTTCCGGACTGTGACCTCCTTCCTCCTGGGAGCTCTGCCTTGAAAGAATGCGATACTTAGCCAGGGACCCGCGTTTATAACTGGGAGTCAAATCCATAGCAATAGTCTGAATGCCTGGAGTTCCCTTGATAGGGGCACCTTTGTGATGCGTTTGGAGATAAAACAATGAAAGGCAGTAACGTACTTGAGAGGAGATACTACTTTACAACACCAGATGGCAGCACCAGATGCTAGCGATGAAGCTAAAGAGTTCCAGCTCAAGCCTCAGCTGTGCTTCTAGTTTTTAGTTCCCTTACACTTCAGTGAAAACTTTTTACTTAATTTTTGTTCTTAACGGACACATAAAAATTGCACATAATTATGAGGTACCATGTAATGTTTCCATACACGTGTACATTGTGTGAAGTCCAACCAGGGTAAACCTATCCATTTCCTCACACATTTAACATTTCTTTATGGGGAAAAAAGAAAAATTCAAAATCCTAACTTGACGATGCCAAAAGTTGCATCAAACTGCATTCAGAGACATAATCATTTATAGAAAACAAAGTTTTTGTTAAGAAAAATAACGCCTATTTTGCAATATAGGTCAGGATTCTTAAGAATGTTGCTTCATGTGTTAGAAAATTCTAGGAAAGTAACCCAAATACTACCTAACCGATAGGAGGTTGTTAGGCAATGGTTTCATTTTGGTGTCTAGTTGTACGAGGCCACTTATCTCTCAATTTCAGTTTCCACTACTGTTTTGAAATGCCCTTTTATTCCATTTACTCTGCCAACCTGTGTTCCATAACCTGAAGGCACTGACATCTAAAGGGTTTAGAACCAGCTTTGAAGAAAGGACACTAGTTTTTTTTTAAAGATATATTTATTTACTTGGAAGGCAGAGCTATAGAGAGGTAGCGGTAGAGAGAGAGGTCTTCCACCCACTGGTTCACTCCCCAAATGGCCGCACCAGCTGAATCAGGAACCAGAAGCTTCTTCCGAGTCTCCCACGTGGGTGCAGGGGCCCAAGGACTTGGGCCATCCTCTAATGCTTTCCCAGACCACAGCAGAGAGCTGGATTGGAAGAGGAGCAGCCAGGACTCGAATCGGCGCCCAAGTGGAATGGCGGCACCACAGATGGCAGCTTTACCCACTGTGCCACAGCACTGGCCCCGTTGGACACTATTTTTGCCAGCAATTAAATAAATAAAGTTTACCCATTCCTATTATCATAAGGAGCAATATGACCGTGACCATGATATAAACGTTCCTTAGCAAATTCGTCAGTCTCTTAGTAAGACAGAGGAGCTCGTAAAGTAGACGCAACAGTAGAATTTAAAAGGATAATCGATGGTTTTCCTTCTCAGGCATCAAAATCGCCCCTCGAGTTCACACCACGTTTAAAAGCTTGTACAACTGGCCGCTGCTCACTCGGGATCTGCTTCCTTTACAGAGGAAAGAACTGGAGTTCACGGCTGCTCCAGACACCAAGCGATGGAGAGGACGAAGGCGACAGGCCTGGGGCAGTCACACCTTCACCTAACACATTCTCCTGAAGGCTCTGTTCCCCTTACCTCCTCCAGGTTCCTTGGAGGTGAGCAAGTGTCCACTCTGCTCTCCCTGGCGGAACTGGCTGCGCGAAGGGGCAACTCAGGCTGCCAGCAAAGCCATCGGTGTCACCCACCCACCACCCGGCGAGGGTTACTTCCTAAGTACCGAGATCACGGTCCTGGAAGTGTCGCCCTCACCTGAGGTCACCGCAAAATCGAGCCCCTTGAGAACGCCAGGCGAGACAAGTGATTCCCATCTGAAGTCAGACCAGGGATTCTAGAAGCAAACTGTTCTCATCCACACGGGGAAGAAACGAAGCAGACTTCGGAATCGTATAAAGGCGTGCCCGTGTGTGACAGCCGGCCAACCCCGGCCGTCACGGGCAGGTCAGGGTCTGACGCCTGTGCTGTAGAGGGCAGCGCTCTCTAGGGATTCACAGCTCTGCCTACACTTTCTGTGAGGCCAGGAAGGGAAGGCATCCATCGGTGGATGGGATTGAACTGTAACTGGAAGGAAAAAGGCACCCTGGAATGGCAAACGTCTTCGGTGGGGAGGGAGAAAGCCATCGCTTCAACAGGTCTTCTCTGAAGTCCAGCCTTTTCTCCATTTTGATTGAGCTTGTTTTAAATCTGGCCGCTTAAAGGGACCCTATGTTGGATGACCTTGTTGTGTCCTCGACTGCAGCCCGTGTGGTCCCCCAAGGAGTTGGCACACCTCTGGAAGCGGTGGGAAGATGTGTGCATGGCAGGTTCCTTCCCACGGCCACATGGGTGTTCAGGCCGGAGAGCGGGGCCGGGTGAGCTGTGACAAAGCCACGTGCTCTCTATGGCCTCCTGCTGCCCTCATCCAAATGCAGGAGTCACCGGGGGGACATTCTCCGCTGCAGATGCCGGGGTGAGTCAGAAAGGTGTCTTCCTGTGCCGTGGCAGGCCTGCCAGCCTCTGCGTGCTGCCGAGACCGCGCGAGAACAGGGTGTGCTCAGCCTGCTGGCTCCAGCCTTGGAGCACGAAGCACGTGTTGCAACATGGGTGAGACTCAGGACCACGCCTTTCCCTGCCTCTCCATCCGTGAGGGGAACCCCGCAGCCCCGTGCAGGGCCGGGAGGCAGAGGGCGGACATGGTTTCTGAGTTGGGGCCCTGGGATGCAGATCCTCGTACTCCCTGGATCCAGACCTCACACGTATTGGAAGAAAAGCCACGGCCAGAAGATGGGGAAAACAGATCGTGTTTACGAGACCAGCCTGAAGCCCACACTGCACTGAAGAGTTTGCGTTTTTATTACGCAGAAAAAGCAGCAGTGTTTTTTCTTCTGTGTTCATCGGAAAAGTTGTCCAGCATCTGTTGGTCTGACTTTCCCGGCGCAAGAATCATTGTCTTGGAATCTCCTAAACCAGTGAGTCCACAGCCACTTCATTTTAATCATGGAACTCAGAGAAGAAACGGACTAGACAGTCCTCGTGGTAAAATTAAAAGGAAGAAAATTTGGATTAAAAAAAAAGAGATTCCCACCCCCGGTTTAATTATAACAATAGCTTGTATAACCCTGGTTTTCCTAAAACAATCTATTCAAAGAGTCCCCGTATTGGGGCATTTCCAGTAGCAAGCCACAGGGAAAAGACTCTGTCTCCTGATTCGGCATCCTGTAAGGTGTGACACAGGACAGCGCGATCACTCCCTGGTCTAATGGCAGGACAAGGAGCACGTGGGCCACACTTCTCTCCTGCAGCCAGCAGCCCACACAGTGGCCGCTTCCCGGCCCTGCCGGATGCTGGCACCTCAAGCAGAGACCCAGCAATTCTTCACCATGTAGGTTCACACATGAGAATGTCCCAGGTTGGGGGTCAGAACTCTGTGTAGAGCTGAGACACAGGGGAGGGAGAAGAGGTGGGAACTGAGTGCCTGCCAGAGCCATGAACACACATCTCCTGGCTTCTGAGTCTGTGCTGGGACTAATCCCCTCCTCACCTCCACCGCACCAAGTGTTTCAAGACAGATTTGCTACATTTGCAGAGTGTATGCATGTCTGCAAGTGCCCCAGTGTTTAATTCTTGCTAAAGTCATTTGGGGTTTTTGACACAGATTCTATTTTGGTAAGATAAACTCAGCCTAAGCCAGCATGGCCAGAACCGAATTCCTAAGGTAGATGCCTAAAATAAACCAGCAATAAATATTGACTGTTGGAATGGGAATTATATCTGTGTAATGTAGACACAGCAGAGTGAGTCATTTTTGAATCACAGTCTCTCCCAGGAATTACTGGCATGGGGGAATCAAGGGAGAAAGAAGCCCCTCACAGGGAGATGAACCCACCAGGCAAGGAAGTTTCTAGAGAGATCTAGCCTCGTGCATCCAGCAGAGGGCAACGTGATCAGCCTGCATTGAGACAGAAATGGGCATGGGAAGACTCCTGTGGGGACTGACTGTGGGGACACTTTTCTCTCACCCCCGCCCCCCGGTGGGAGAATGGACCCCCGCCCACCCAATGCACCTTACGAGGCGTGGATTACCTTATCAGATACACTAGGCGCTGCCTTGTTGCCTTGCTGCTTGGCACCAGTGGCCTCAGAGAGGCCACCCTGACTCCCTAAGGACAAGCTCTGTGCTTTGGGGCCGCCGGACTGAGCTGCGCAACTTCTCAGGTGCACCAGGAGGCGTTCTGGGGCGAAGGTCCGGGGACAGTTTGGGCAGGGCACAAGCTGCACCTGACTCGGCCCCTCGTGGCCGGCCAGTCCAGACGGGAGGGACTCAGGCTTCCGAGGGAGCGGCTGGCGGAGCTCCCTGGGCAGCCGGTCATTCTCTATCTTCCACTTTTCCAGGCATTTGGGTTCATGGATAGGGAGCGACAGGCTACCGAACTCCCTACCACAGATGTAGCACGGGAGCATCCTTGGGCGGGCAGGGGCTGTGCCGGTAGTTTTCCCGAGACCAGGAAGGTCTGCGGGGGAAGGCGCCCTGGGCCCCTGGCCCTTCGGCCTGCAGCTCCGCTGGTGAACAGGAAGACGATCCGGCAGGAAGGTGCGGCCGCACACTTCGCAGGGCACCAGCTGAGCCTGCACGCCCTGGAAGGCGGCCTCGTTGGCTTCCTGGAGGCTGTAGGAGCCGCTGCCGCCCAGGGGCTGTGGTTTGGAGGGTTCTGGCCTCCTCAGGTGCTTGGGCAACTTGCTGTTTTCCGCACGCCACTTCTCCAGGCACTGGGGCTCGTGGATGGCAAGGGACTGAGACCCGAACTCCCGGCCGCAGATGTAGCAAACCCGGAAGGCGGGCCTGCGGGCTGGGATGACCGGGGGGCTGGGCTGGCCCGCTGCCCTCATTCTCCTGCCCGATCGTCTGGACACGATCACAGTGCCAGGTCGGGTTTTCTGGGCCTGCGCCTGTACCTTGTCACCAGGTTCGGCACCCCGTGTTTCTGGGCAAAGGCTGGCGGGGGAGTCGGGGGGCGGGACGGCGTGGTTGATAAAGAAGGTGGGTTCCTTACAATGGTGGAAAGTTTGCTGCAAGTCGTTGGAAACCCTCCTCTCCTTTCCTCTTTCCATGAACAAAGCAGTCTTTCTCCGGCGTGTGCTCTGATTTCAGGCCAGGCTCATTCTGGGCTCCTGCGTGGAGAGGAGGTTGGCCAGCTTGGCTGTCCTGGGGTTCCACATCGTTGCCAGTGCCTCGGCCCAGAGGCTGTGGCTCACAGCGTGGTCCTTGAAGGCAGCGGTCTGGAATGTTGGAAATCTCATGTCTCCAAGATCTGTGCAGGGGTGGAGACAGAGACGGAGAAGTTACAACACACACACACACCCCTAACTTGCAGGCTGAGATAAAGGGCGGGGATTTTATTTTTTTTTTTAAGAGTTGACCTCGTATCCTCTTTGGCTACATGGTAACCAGCACGTAGGATTTGTTCCATAAAAACTGAAGTAAATATAGAGACGGTTTCCATTATGAATGGTACTGCTGACTGTATTGAAAGTAATGGTTCTGCACAGAGACACAGCCACAGCACAGCGCAGACGCAGGGGGCACCAAGCAGCAAGGGCCGACTCCAGGGCGGGGAGGCCACAGGAGAGGGCACTGCAACCTGGGAAAATCACACGAATGAAACTAGCAGATGTGGGGGAAAGATGGTATTGGACCCCACAGAAACCTCCACTCCCTCAAGGGATTGCAGAGCTCGGCAGGCAGGAGAGGGCACAGCTCTCTCTCTGACAGTTCTCTGAAGCCTACGCCACTCTCAGAATGTCGCTAAAAGCAAAATCGTCGTAATACAAGTACAAATGTTTTTGTTGTACCAAGGGAAAGCAATTTCATCGAGATAACTTATTTTTTTTTTAAATTTTGATACAAAAAGTTCTTCAGCAGGTTCATGGAAAATGCAATTGACAGGTAAGTGTAGGTTGGCACAACCACATTAATGCATCTGTTAGTCCCATACCCATAAGCATGGTTAAGTCCCTGCCGGCGTTCTTACTAGGATGTGGTAGTCCGGACTTCATGAGTACCCACGGACCTGAAGCTCACCCTACAGACCGGGTCAGCCAGCAGGGAAGATGGAGAGGACCATCAGCAGACCTCGGAGGGGAGAGATGTCTCGTACCCCACCACGTACCCGTTTTTATTTGTTAAGTATCGACCATCGTTCCCAAGCAAAGGAGACCGAGGTCCACGCCCAGCCCAGGGGGCCACCTGCACAAGGAACAAGAAGCTTCAATGCGGCTTGATTCTCCTTTTTTTCTAGGAATCACACCTAGTATCTTGCTTTATAAGAGGTGTGTGTGTCTTCCACACTTTTATTATTTTTTTCAAAGATTTATTCATTTTATTTGAAAGTCAGAGTTAAGAGAGAGGGGAAGAAATGAGAGCGAGGGGAGAGAGAGAGAGAGAAAGAGAGATCAGTCTTCCAATCACTAGTTCACTCTGCAAGTGGCTGCATTGGCCGGGGCTGGGCCGGGCCGAATCCAGGAGCTTCCTGTGGGTGCAGGGGTCCAAACACTTGAGCCATCTCCTACTGCTTTCCCAGGTGCTTATTAGCAAGCTGGATTGAAAGTGCAGCAGCTGGGATTTGAACCAGTGTCCATATGGGATGCCCGCGCCGCAGGCAGCAGTTTAACCTATTGTATCCAAACACCTGCCCCACACTTTTATTTTTATAAAAACCATGGCCATGCTGGCACTGTGGCGTAGTGGGTAAAGCCACCGCCTGCACTGCCGGCATCCCATCTGGACACCGGTTCGAGTCTTGGCTAGTCCACTTCCAATCCAGCTCTCTGCTGTGGCCTGGGAAAGCAGTGGAAGATGGCCCAAGTCCTTGGGCCCTGCACCTGTGTGGGAGACCCAGAGGAAGCATCTGGCTCCTGGCTTTGGATCGGCCCAGCTCTGGCTGTTGTGGCCATTTGGGGAGTGAACCAGCGGGTGGAAGACCTCTCTCTCTCTCTCTCTGCCTTTGCTTCTCTGTAACTCTGCCTTTCAAATAAATAAACAAATCTTAAAATAACAACAACAACAAAAAACCATGGCCACTGGGCTTCCCTAGAATAAAGAGCTGATAATATTATCGCATTCCAGGCCTGAGGAGTGGTATCTTGGGCAGGACTGTTTTTATTGTTTTTATCACTTAGCCACAAACCCACCCCGGGAAAGTTTATTGTTGGAGTCACAGGACTTTGTGCTAACCCAAACCCTCCAGTCACCACCACCGAGGGAGCCCACTGGGTCCGAGGCTGCACCCGGGGCAGCCTGGCCACCCCCTGAGTTTAGGCGGAGTGTGGACAGCATGCTGCGGCTGTGGAAACACTGGGCGGTGAGTTTATAGGAAACACTGGGCGGTGAGTTTATAAGGGACGAAACGAGCCAGGAGATCTCTGCCCTGGTCCTGTATCTTGGTGCCGAGAAAGGTCAGCCCCTGTGCGGTGGAGACTAATCAGCTCGGCCCTGGCATAGGGAGCGAAGTGATTCTTCATTCTGACAGATCCTAAGACAGTGATATTAACACATGTGGCAAAAGAATGTGCTGGCCCCAAACAGAGTGGCCAGCTCAGAGAACGAAGCTGAGAGAAATTTATCACTTTATCAGCACCATCCAAAAGAGGAAGTGGATCCGGGGAACAGGGTAAAATGATTGCACTAGGGTTTTATGGGCACGTGGGTGGGAGAAACCCCAAACAACTCTGCTTCATCCACCCTGGCCACTTGGTCACCAAGGACCTCCTCGTCTTCCCTGACACCAGCAAGTGGCCAGCACGGAAAGTGCCTAAGGAGACAGATCAGAAAAATCACTGCCACGAGTCACCTCCTCTCCCTCACTGCCCGCACCCCTGTAAGTTCTGTCGCCGGCAAATGCCAGCACCGAGAATTCTAGCCATGACTGGCCTGGAAAGGGTAAGAGAATTAATATTTCTTGAAGGACAATCCTTTGTCAGGTATTGCACTGATTTTTCTGTTCATTAATTTCAGTTCATTCTCTAACGCGCCTAAGGCAGGTATCATGATTTCAAGGTCATAAACCAAGACAGCGTGACTCAGAGAAGTCACAGTCGGTTTCTAAATGACAGAACCAGGAGTCTCTTCCAGCTCTCTCTGGCTCCACAGTGGCTCTTTCCATCATCCCTTCTGCCTGGATTCCACCAGCACAGCCTCTTTGTCATTTTCATTCCTGCTTTAATGCACTCTTCCTATGCCTCTGGGGGAAGGCTTAAGCCCTCTGCAGCCCCTGTGTTCCCCTTTGTGGGAAGGAAAAACAAGAGAGAGGGGTGGGGATGGCACAGAGCACAAAGCCCAGAGATAAGAAAAGCCCAGGGGAGAGGGAGATTAGGGCCCCTTAAGACTTGCCTATGGCTGGCGCCGCGGCTCACCAGGCTAATCCTCCGCCTGTGGCGCTGGCACCCCAGGTTCTAGTCCCGGTTGGAGCACCGGTTCTGTCCTGGTTGTTCCTCTTCCAGTCCAGCTCTCTGCTGTGGCCTGGGAGTGCAGGGCCCAGGTCCTTGGGCCCCTGCACCCGCAAGGGAGACCAGGAGGAAGCACCTGGCTCCTGGCTTCGCCATTTGGGGCATGAACCAAACTTTCCTACAAGTTGGGGATCCAACACCCACTTTTTTTTTTTAACAGGCAGAGTGGACAGTGAGAGAGAGAGAGAGACAGAGAGAAAGGTCTTCCTTTGCCGTTGGTTCATCCTCCAATGGCCGCTGCGGCCGGCACACCGCGCTGATCCGATGGCAGGAGCCAGGAGCCAGGTACTTATCCTGGTCTCCCATGGGGTGCAGGGCCCAAGCACCTGGGCCATCCTCCACTGCACTCCCTGGCCACAGCAGAGAGCTGGCCTGGAAGAGGGGCAACCGGGACAGAATCCGGCGCCCCGACTGGGACTAGAACCCAGTGTGCTGGCGCTGCAGGCGGAAGATTAACCTAGTGAGCCGTGGCGCCGGCCCAACACCCACTTCTTAAGAAAAATCTACATCCCCAACGAAGGATGGGGGATGGGTGAGGTGGCAGGAGCTGGGGCCCCATGAGGTCTGTCTTTGTAACAGGTGCAAGGTCAAAGTGAAGTCTCCCTGAGAAGGCCAGGCAGAGTCCAGCCCGCAGCACGGCTGGCCTGGGGTCTTTCCCACACTCGCACGTGGTGCACTGCAAATACTCCCCCTGCAGCAAACACGAGTGGGCAGCACAAACAACCCTTCCACGTCTTCCTCTGCTCTTTCTCCTACCAAGTCCTCTCCTCGACCAAGGCCCTCCTGAAATGCCCTCTTCTTGTGAGTGAAGGCATCAAAGCCGGAAAGATGAGGGAGGAGCGAGGGAGTGAACTCTGGGGGCACCCAAGTGGCCAGCGAAGAAATCAGCCACATTTCCTCCTGTGGTTCTGTCAGAACAGCACGGGCAGCTGGTCTACCCTGCACGTTAGTTCAAAAAGCGAAAGTGCTGGAAAAATGCAATACGTACACTTAAATCCCTTAAGCAATTGGCCTGCTACCCAAACACACCACAAAGCAGTGCTGCTGGTTTATAGAGAACCTCGTGGCAAAGCAGCCCTGCCCAGCCCAGGCATCTGCGGGGAAATGTGCAGGCAGCTGGGTGAGGTAATTTAATTTTCACCATATTTGTACATGGGGCATTTAAAGAATGTTCCGGAAGGTACCACGCTGTGTCAATATGATGCCATTTTTCCATTCCCTTTGGGGTTCACGGAAACAGAGAGAGAGAGAAACTCGCAAAAAGAAATGTAAAACTATGGGGACCCAGAAACCATTTTGGCATAGGAAGGTGTTTTTCTAATAGAACAAAGAGCACAAGCAAAATTGTGATGAAATCTATAAAAAAATTCAGTTCTTTGAAACAAAATAGACATAAATGGTGCATGAACGGCCCCGCCCTGCTAGTGTAGGATCCAGATTCATTCAACGGACAAAAGGAAACCCAGGGAACGTGCAGTCAGGACACGGCTCCCAGCCCAAGTCTACACCAGGGATCCGTGGTCAGCGTCTTCACGCACTCCACTCAACATCATTCACTCTTCGCAGCCTCGGATCCTCACGTACCCCTCAGTCTTCCGTACCTATCA